CCTTATCATCTAGAAGGAACATGTCGATTCCTGGAAATTCGCTTGGTTTATCTTTTTTGGAAATTCCCACAAACGAACAATCCTAACTTTGATCTTACATGGTTCAATTGAGGGAGGTATATGCGAGCGGCATGATGAATCAATTTGCAGACTTTAATGCTCCAAACCAACTGCATGAAAAACAACAAAATACAAAGCATAAGTAACTGAAATCAACTGTTAAATTTGGTAAACAATTACAATAGCATATGGTGATCAAAGAAGAGAAAGATAAAAAAAATATATATCTTTGCAAAATTATCCAATGAATTGACATGAAAGTGCATACCGTGAATACAATGAATTGTTATGCAAAGAGTTTTCCCCTTCCTCGTCTTGGGATCTAGTTACTGGAAGAGAAAGTACTTCAAGATTAAGCGCCTCCTGGTAGAGTCGTGCCATAATGTAAAAATAAGAAACTTTGGCTTAGGGCATTGTTTTAATAGGAAAATTAAAGGACATATTTTTTATTGTTTCATTTAGTTAAACTATCAAATAATAAAATTATAGAAACAACCTTAAGAACTTTGTGTTAATTAAAATAAACAAAACATGGATTTACTGTTTACATGATAAAAATTACGGGCTTCTAATGGTCAAGTAACCAAACAAATATAGAAACAATTTAAATTTTTTAAAGTAAAGTAAACATAGAATAAGATTGTTACATACTGTAACAGAGTGAATTAATCACTTGACTTTTTTTCTTCAAGTACTTTACATAACAAAATTAATGATTTTATCGATCAAAAAAGTTTGTTAAAATTTTTGATTTTGAAAAGAAATTAAGTTTATAATTAATATTTTGTTTGCTAGTTTTCTTTTCTTTTTATATGACGATGTTATTTCTTATTATGAATGTTTTTTTATGGATTGAGGCATCTTATTGTCCTAATCGTTTCGGGCATCCGTATATGTTGGCACGCTGCCTATTGGAAGTGGTCAAGTGGATAATGAATCACTGGATTCAAAATATTTTTTTTTTTATTATCAGAATGCTAGAATATACAATAAAAATATATAAACAAGAACAAATTCTAAGGAAAAGGCTGAAAATATTGGGTTGGGAAGTAATACCACTCCCAGACCTCCTACTATAAGATCGGATCCCAAAAAAACTAAAAGAAAATCATGTATTGATCCCGGCAAATCCGTCCCCTCGCAGGTTGGGCAGTAAGGGTCAGAGAAGTTTTCTTTATAGATATGTCAGAGACTTGTTGAATATTGAAAGACAAACGATTTGATGGTTTATAATTGTTGAAAAGAAAACTAAGCCTAATAGATAGTATAATCAATAGCAATTTGTATCAATATATAGTAGTCAATCCTAACTATGCGATTGAAAGTGAAGAATCGAAAGGGATAATTAAATTAAATCTACCAATAGATAGTAAACCCTAATTAGAATTACGCAAATGAAATTGAAGAATCGAAAGAGATGAACAATCTTTTTACCTCGAGTAGATTTGCAGAAAATTTGAATCTGAAAAACAACATATGTTTGAAACTTTTGTAGGAGATGGTATAGTTTCATTATAGAAGAAGAGATGAGAAGTGGAGAATTGGAGATCGTGGGGGTAGTAGTTAGAAGAAGAATAAGTGTGTTTTTTTCTCCGTCAAAAGTTGGGTTTTTTTTTTGTGTGTTGAATTTTCAAGAAAATAAATCAATTAATTATAAACGTAGATACATAACATAGAAAAAATGAGATCAGCCGACGACTCCCTCTCTCTCTTGAGGGTGATCGGGAAGGCAATGAGTCTCTGTTGTCTTATCTCAATTTTCAACAGTGGATTCTTATTGCATTATCAAATTGTTGATTCTCCTTTCTTCATCAAAGAACTTGAACAAGATTAAAGTGTAGACAGAGAACCATGGGTGATCTAAACTGCCTATAGTCGTCAACAACTGCTTCTCTTAATTGGCATTTGTTTTCTCGTCGGAATCAAGGAATCCTCTCTGTAGTAAAAATAGCAACCAAACTTTTGCTGATTCTCAAACTGATGACGACTCGGGAAACGCTTTGTGAGTCGATTTGTCAACGGTTTACTTCAGATTTCTTCCAATCTCGAATCAGGATTGTTAAAATATCAATTGAAGTGAGATGTCGTATCATCTACATCCGCTACGCATCCGTTATCTTCAACGTGGTCACCACCACGATTGATGGCCAATCACAATTGGTTTCGAAAGAAGTTTTGGGGTCTCTTGGGTAATTTATGATCTTAGGTACAAATTAAGTTGTCTTGGCATTTTAAAAAAAAATTATAATAAATCGGATCCTAAAGACTTTATGAGAGTATCTTTACTTTAAATATCCATTTATTGTTTACATATCTTATTAAGATTAATTTAGGAAATCACTACTAATG